TCATGCCTTAGTCAGCCAACTCCACCCTGTCACACATGGTTCTCCACACTGTCCCACATGGTTAACTCCACACTGTCCCACATGGTTAACTCCACCCTGACACATAGTTAACTCCACAATGTCCCACATGGTCATGCCCTAGTCACACATGGCTAACTCCACACTGTCCCACATGGTCAACTCCACCCTGACACATTGTTAACTCCACACTGTCCCACATTGTGATGCCCTAGTCAGCCAACTCACCCTGTCACATCTGGTCATGCGCCAGATGATAATGTGTCTAGTTAACTAACTCAAGCCTGACGCACATGAATGACCCTGTCCCTGGTTGACCACACCATGTTGCACATGGATGTGTCCACTCCAACCTGTCCCGCATGGATGGTCCTGGCCGTGGTTCAACTCCACCCTGTCCCACATGGTCATGTCCCTGGTTAACTCCACCCTATCACACATGGATGGTCCTGTCGCTGGGTTATTCCATCCCGTCGCACATAGGATGGTCACGTCCCTGGTTAACGAATTACACCCTGTCGCACATGGATGGTCCTGTCGCGGGTAATTCCAACCCGTTGCACATAGGATGGTCATGCCCCTGGTTAACGAACTGCACCCTGTCGCACGTGGATGGTCCTGTCGCTGGGTAATTCCACCCCGTCGCACATAGGATGGTCATGTCCCTGTTAACGAACTACACCCTGTTGCACATGGATGGTCCTGTAGGTCGGCAACTCTACCCTGTTGCACATGGGATGGTCATGTCCCTGGTTAACTAACTACACCCTGTCTCACATGGTCGCGTTCCCTGTTAACTCCAATCGCCCCCGCCCCCACCCCCAAATCCGTTGTTGTAGTCTGTTTGTCATCGTCCATTACCGCTTCCCCTATAGAATCTTCTGTTTCCTTCCAGTGGTGTGCAATTTGATCCTATCCCACATGGTTCTCTCTCTCTAACTCCTCTTTCCCATCTTGCCCCTTTCGCATGAGCAATGGAACTGTGTTTTTTCCTTTTCTCCTGCTGTCATTTACCAGTGGGGATTCATTTAATCATGAATGAAGTGCGTGTGACACCCACCTTCGCCTCTTCTCTCTCTCTCTCTCTCTCTCTCTCTCTCTCTCTCTCTCTCTCTCTCTCTCTCTCTTTCTTTTGCTTATTTTGAACATCATTTAATTATCCCCCTTGTTTGATTGCTTCCAGGTTCATGGGCAGCCCTGCCACATTGTGTACACAGATTTCCGGCCCACCCCTCTGCAGCATTACATTTTTCCGTCAGGTGGAGATGGACTGTACTTGGTTGTCGATGAGAAGGGGACGTTCAGAGAAGACAATTTCCACAAGGCTATCGTGGCCATGGGAGCCAACGGGGCAAGGAAGGAGGGTGAGCGGCGGAACGGTAAGGAGCAGAAAGTGGCCTTCGATGAGAAAAGCGATATTTTCAAGATAACGAAGATGATCATGCAGCGGCAATATGACCCTGTGATTGTTTTCAGCTTCAGCAAGAAGGATTGCGAAGCGCTGGCCACACAGATGTCGAAGTTGGATTTGAACGACCAGGATGAGAAGAAGCTCGTGGAAGGAATCTTCTGGAATGCGATGGACATATTGTCAGAAGATGACAAAAAGCTGCCGCAGGTACAGTTAGAAGAAAAGGGAGACCAACACGCCTGCCGTCTTCACGGGAATAGAACGCCCAGTCATTATGGCTGTATTTGGGCCAATTTTCAAACCGGATGCAGCGACAATGACCGGGCGTTTTATTTGGGTTAAGACGGTAGATCAGTTGCTATACCCATGAACTGTTGAAATACAGACCCGAGTTGGAATCCAGCTGCAATCAGATGAACAGAATGAAGTAATTCTGAGTTACTGGGCCCGCTCAGCTCAATGGTTATATCGCAAGGCCACCAAAAAAGAAGAAAGAAAAGAAAGGGAGTGGGTTGTGTACAGGGACAGACCTGATTTGGAAGCGTACAACAGAAGGAAAAAAAAAGAAAAAAAAGAAGGAAGCCTGATAGTTGGAGTACTGGGGGGAATTTGGGGGGCAAGTAGGGGTATTGTGTTGTCTCAACTTGTCTGTCTCCGACTGGCCGAAATCAAGGAAAGATCGGGCTGCATCTTTTACATTTTTGAAAAGGTTGGGGTTTGTTGTTGGGGTACCTGCATCTTTTAGACTTCCCTTTTCTTTTCTTTCACAGCTGTTGGTGTATCTTCCTGATGGGCGAAATGGTGTACACCACATGTAAGTGGTGTAGTTTTAGCCTACCGTACATGGCACCCACGCCGTGATGGCCTGTACAGGAGCCGTAGGCAAAACCTGATGGCCGTAGCGGAAAACTCGGAGGAGGGTGTAA